GAGCAGTCCCGCAAAGGGGCCTGCGTAGGATTAGTATAGTAGGTAGGTAGGTGGTAGGGGATTGGGGATGTACCTGGTGCCAGACCGGCCAGCTCAACAACGCGGACCCCGGCGAGAGGGAGATTTTCTGACATGGTTGCAGTGGATTGAATTGGATGTGGGAGACTGTAGATATCATGAGGTGGGAGATATATATATGGGACGGTGATGCCGCAGCCGAGGTCCGGGATGCGGGGAACAGAACCATGGATAAACAGCCATACCATATGTATAAACCCTCAGGGCAATATAGATCAACATAACAGATGGTTCCATTGCCTAGTGTAGATGAATGCTATGACTACCACTCACTCCGACCCTCGGCCTCACCCTGATCATATGCATTGTCCATGCGATCGCCAAACTGCTCGACCTCGCCCACCTTCTCGCCTACCCATTCGGCCGCGTTTTCCGGCGCATTCTCAACATCATCCACCGCATTGTCCCAGCCGTCCTCGACGCGGTCCTCAGCACGGTCCCAACCCTGCTCGATGTTCTCGGGGATCTGCTCGACCTCGCCGACCTATGCAGTCAGCATCATATATACCATCCAACATTGACACCCCCAGCAGAACAGAAAGGAAGATATCGACAGAGAAAGATGCTGTAGAACATACCTTCTCGCCCGTCCACCGCGCCGCATCCTCAGGGAATTCCTCGACCCGGTCTTCGGCGCGGTCCCAATCCTCTCCTACACAGTATCAGCACCATCATCCCCAGAAGCAGACACAGGAAAAAAGGGAATGAATTAATGAAACATACGAATCTCCTCCCCCTCATGCATCACCAACGCCGTCCCCGCCGCCCCAACCGCGACGCCCGCAAGCGCACCCCCAGCCATCTTCCATCCGCTGTGGTCGCTGCGCGGCTCCCCCTGACTCTGGCTCTGGCCCTCGTAAGAGTCTCCATACGCAGGACGCGCCCCATACCCGGGATGTTCCCAGGACGTCTGGCCCGTCTGCTCGTTCACAAAGAAGTACCGCTGGTCGCGGGCGTCCCAGCGCGCGATCCACGGGTAGGGCAGGTCCTGCGGCGGAGGGGGCGCGCCGTAGCCGGCATTGGAGCTGTAGCTGTCGCCGTAGCCGGAGGGTTGCGGCTGGGGGTTTTCGGAGTAGCCCGAGGACGAGTGCTCGAACTTGTTTTCGAGGGTTTTTTCGAGGAGTTTGCCGACGAAGTCCATGTTGGCTTGCTGTTGTTGTGTTGTGGTAGGTAGGTACTAGTAGGTAGGAGGGTGGATAGAGTATTAAGGAGGATGGAGGGGTAAAAGGCTTGTTAGGGTCAGCGTTGTCTAGGATGTGACTGACCTGCACTAACTAGATTAGCCAGTATGAGACATTTTTCTACCGCTGACCCGTCGTATGCCGCTCATTCGCTTCGGCTAGTCGGGATTAATCAATCCCTGTGGGGTGGTGGATAGGTGACAGGTGTTAACTGTTAGCTGTTCGGTCGTTCATTGAAAGATAGTAAGAAACGTCAAGTAGAACAGCAGTAATCAGGACAGACAAACAGACAAACATCCAGAAGTATCTATTCGTCTGTAACCCTCGATATAGTTACACTTGCATACTTCAGACTCCACGTGTCTACTGGCTACGGGATCGGCCGGCTTGGCGGAGCTTGGCTACGGGGTATAGAAGGGTCATCCTCATTACTTTGCATTACCATATCTATAATAGGCATCATGAATGAATTGAACCAGTCGCAAATGAAGGTACTTGTCAGAGACAGAAAGCATATTATCACCAAGCTCATTACCTAGGTATCCGTCGTCCGACAACGACACACCAATCATCGAAGAATAATATATAATATGAGAAGAAGCATCAACAATCAACTCTCGAAAGATCTTACATCACGAAGGCGTAAAGAAGGGAACCAACAACAGCCACCGCCCCGTGGCCCCATCCGACGACCCGCGGCGCCGCGCCCGTGAAAACAGGCGACACGTCTCCCGGCGCCGTGGTCGGAGCGACCGGCGCGCGCGATCCAGTGCTCGAGGGGCGCACGTACATCGTCGACGAAGACGACGACGGACGCACGCCGCCCGTGCCCAGGATGACCGGACGGCTCGTGGTGGAGTGCACCGGACGGCCGGTGGGCTGGCCGGGCGCTCCCGTGGGCACCGCGACAATGGGCACCGTCACCGTGACGGTGGTGGGCGCCGGACCGCACTCCGTGCACACCGTCACGGTGGTGGTGTAGCCGGCGGGGAGGGTGGCCGTGGTGGTCGGGGCCACGGGTGCCTCCGTCGTCGTGGGAGCCGGCAGCGTCAGCGTCACCGTCGTCGGGGTGGCGGCACACTGCGTGCAGACGGTCACGGTGGTGGTCCAGCCCTCCGGAGGGGCCGGGGCGGAGGTCTGGGCGCCCGGTCCGGTCGGAGGAAGAGTCGCGGTGGCAGTCGCCGTGTTGCCGGGGCAGTACGTGGTGGTGTACGTCGTGGTGACGGTGGTGAAGCCCGTGGGGCAGATGCTGGTGTACGAGGTGACAATCACGGTCGTGTACGTGGTCGAGTCCTCGGTGGTGCTGGGAGCCGTGGTGGTGGTGGGCGTGCTCACCGGTCCTGAGGTGATACCGGAACCGGTGGTGGTAGTTCCACTCTGGCCGGGGGCGCTGGACGAGGTCGTCGTCGGCTTCACATGGCCGGACGTCGTGGTGTCGGTGCACGAGGTGGAGCTCGAGGACCCAGAAGTGCTAGAGGAAGTAGTCGTCGGCTTCACATTGCCAGAAGTCGTGCTGTCAGTGCACGTGGTGCTCGAGGACACGGCAGTGCGGAGGAAGTAGTCGTCGGCTTCACATTTCCAGAAGTCGTGCTGTCAGTGCACGAGGTGGAGCTCGAGGACACAGACGTGCTGGACGAAGTCGTCGTCGCGCTAGTGGTCTGACCGGTGGTAGTGTCCGTGCAAGAGGTGGAGCTGGAGCTGGACGGCACCGGAGCACTGGATCCAGGGGTGCTCGAGCCCGGGACACTGGCCGAGGGGCTCTTGGTGGGAGTAGAGCTGGGAGACCGGGTCGGGGTACGAGTGGTCGTGGGGATCACTGGGACGGAAGAGGTGCGAGTCCGGGTGGTCGTCGGGATGACGGGAGTCGAGGTAGGAGTGCGCGTGGTGACGGGGCTGCTCGAGGGGATGACACTGCTCGAGGGGATGACACTGCTCGAGGGGATGACACTGCTCGAGGGGATGGCACTGCTGGAGGGCGTGCTGGTGGTGGTGCTGGAGGTCGTGCTGCTTGACGAAACGACACTGCTGGAGGAGGTGACGGCGCTCGAGGACGTGGTGGTGGTCGTGCTGGAGACAGGGGTGCTCGACGGGGTAGGAGTGCTGGACGGGATAGGAGTGCTCGAAGGAGAGGGCGTCGGCGACGGGGTAGGAGCACAGCCGTTCAGGATGCTCTTCATGCTATCGGCATAGCTGCCACCGTTGATCTGGTTTCTCTCCGAGGCAGTGGCCTCCCACAGCATGATACCGCCAAAGGTCTCCGGGTACTTCTTCATGTACTCCTCCACCAGGGGCTCGACCTCTTCAGGGGTCAGGTAGTATCCCGGGTTCACCACGGTATCACTGGCCGGCAGTCCCACGTAGAGCTTGGCGTTGGGGTTGGCACTGTGCTTGATGACCTTCACCCAGGCGTCGTAGTTGAAGCCCGGCTTGTTGCCCTCGACGTAGTCCATCGCGGAGCAACCGGGGTTGTTGTAGAACTGCACCCAGACAAAGTCGAAAGGCGAGTTGGTGATGGCGTCACTCAGCTGAGCGTCGGGGATGGGGCACTGAGGAGCACCCGAGATATAAAAGGTGCGGTCCGGGACCTCGGCGTAGTGTTCGCGGAAGCGGTTGACCATGTCGGCGTAACCTACATCATTAGATCAGGACAAGTTATCGAAAGGTTGTGAAAGGGTCATACCGAAGCCTCCGTTGTGCTCAATGTCAAAGTCGAAACCATCCACGACAACGTCGCCAAAGGGACGAGGACCGCCAATGTCCACCCAGGTCTGGTTAACCGGACCAAAGGCCAACCAAAGGAAGTCGGCAAAGGCGATGGCGGTATCCTCTTCCAGGATCTGCTGAGTAGCCGGAGAGGCACCGCCGAGAGACAAGAACACCTTCTTGCCAGCCGCCTGACAGATGGGGATGTCTTCGACGATCTGGTGGCATCCCGACAGCAGTTTGGTAGTCAAGCCACCAATCGTATACGTCTCACCATTGCACTGATTGCCAAAGTTGCTGCCCGGCCATCCGCTGGGACTCTGCTCGGGAAACTCGTTGATGAAGCCAATGTTGATAATATCCAAGGCCGAGTCCTGGCAGAATTCTCTCAGCCGCGGCTGATCATAACCTTGGCCATAGTAGACGGCAACATTGGTCTTGGACTGGGGATTGAACGCCGATACGGCGGAAAGGGTAGAAAGGGCCGTCGCAACGGCGAGGGTCTTGCTAGACACCATGATAGACAACGAATGACTGGATCCCAAAGGGATACTCGAAACAGGTCAAAGAATGGACGCAGACAAACGTCTGCTACTGGCCACCGTAGGAACAAAATTACGCAGTGGACAAAAGAGAGGGAGGAAGAGAAGAAGAAGAGGAACAGAGGGTGGACGGGACAAAGGCATCCTATATATGGACCCTTGACCGTCCACCAATGTGACGGCCTCCTGGACCTCGAACGGGTGCAACCATAGAGCCGACGGGAGTCTCCTCAGGGAACTACACTAGGTCGTCCGTAGTGCGTCCTCCGTAGTGACTCAAGTCCCCTGTTGCATTGGAGGATCCCGATTGGGGGAAGCATTTTCATTCCACTCAGCGCGAGAAGCTAACGAGGCACTTGGGATTAGAGCGCCTACCATGAGGCGAGCAGCAAAGACCCCGACTGGCTAAGGAGATTGGACCATGCATCTCGGAGATTGCTCCAAGGGGGCGGACGATGGCGATTGGAGCTCAACGGTGTGCAGAGCCGCAAGATCCGGAGTCCCTGAGACTGGTGAGCAACGGCGTAGGCACTAGCAGAGGGGAATTGACCTGCACTAAGGTGATCTATCGATCTGGAGATGGTTCTGATGGAGGGTCTGTTGCGGCGTTCCAGACGAAGAGAGGCTCAGAACCAATGGAACAGCACCGACATGACGGGCACAATGGATCCAGTGAGACATTCCTGACAATCCGATTTTGAGACCGATAAGAATGTGGTGGAGGACGAGATATCACTGGGGGAGAGTGTGTGATGGTGTTGGCCACATGGGGAGTTGGAGGGATATCAGGTACGGGACGGTATGAATCAGTAAAAACAGGGAAGATGACTCTGTTCAGAGAGTATTTAGTGTACTTTACTGTACTATACAGTACAATACAGCGGACCGTTATGAGCCTCGCGTGGAGAATTTACTCTGTCCACGTCTTTAGTCCCTGGTTAGGGCACGCCACCGACCCTCCAGGCACACCAATCACTCTCCCTCCGAAATGCGCAGGATCCCACCAGAGGGACTCATTTCTCCCTGTCCTTCCCTTACGGAGTATTCTCGCTGTCGGGTCGTGTCTCGGGGGTCCGGCCGGATCATCAGATCGGCACGATCTGCCGTCAAGCTCGACGGAGTACGGAGTAATTTGTATATCCTTCCTGGTTGATTGCTGATCCATCAAGTACTTATACATCAACAACAGGATATTAAATAAATCCCACGATATTACAAGCAAGCGTGGACTCGGCGACTCCATGCATCTCGCGTCGCCTCACCACGTTGCATCCACTTGGTCGTTTTGTGCCCTGTTGCAGTCCTCGCTAAGCACTAGGCCCTTAGGCCCTCAGTCGGCCCAATTTCCACCGCTTTGCCCGGCTTAGGCCCATCTTGGCGAGAACCACGGGGAACAGGACCCTTTAGCGGCATTCAGAATTAAATTACCGTGGCGTTCGGTGCCTAGGCAGTTAGTGGGCTCAGACCGTCATTGCCTAAGCGAATTGTCCCTCCGAGGTGATTGTAGCCGACAGCCCGGCGCGTACATGATTCATGGATCTGTCCACAAATTCTCATCGTCTGTTGAATTTACCCGGATGACATGCGATGCAACATCCCCTGACGGACCCTTTCCCCCGAACTCCCGCTCCTCGGTCGATTCCTGAACAGGAGTAGTGACACCAGGTGGTGTCCGCTTGGGCCTCAAGCCATGGCCTGGGAGTAGTTGTTCGGCCCCTCCAGACCCAATATATTACCAGATGACTGCCCCACTGACAATAAAGCACAGGATCCAGTCGAGCAACCCCTGCGTCGTGACATCGTCTACGATGAGATGTTGAGCTGTCTAGAAACCTGACATATGCAGGAGACCGATGATGATGCAGCGAATGCCTAGGTTGAACTCCGCGTGGTAGTCCCGTAGGAACAGCTCGGAGATATGCCAGTTGCCGTGTCGCACTAGGAAAGTCGGCTGAGCCCCTGGGGGTGCCGTAGCTGTCCATGATATATGAAATGCAGGAACCCGTTGGGTTATGGATGATAGTCAGCAGGCCATACAGGTCTGTATGCTTCCCTGTACATGTCCTTCACGGCGGCCAACGAGTGTCATACCAGATTGATTCGCTCTTGCGAAGCTTGGTAGCACCATAGTAGTACGCACCGTGGTGGATGCCAATCAATACAGTGCAAGTCTGCGCCAGGACAATCCCATACTGGGCCATACTGAGACCGCGTGGGTCAGGGACACGGTCCCATCCTGCCAAGGGGACCACACTCAGCTGTGGTCATCGGGGGTCGAAGACAAGTTCATCCGGGGAAGATGGCCTGCAGGCAGTGGATATGATGTCCGACCTCCTATCACCATTGCGTCAGTGTTTGGTCGCCATGCGAGCAGGCTCGGAGTTGAGGGATCAAATCGCATGGCCTAAACTCCCATCACATGTAGCAATATGTCTTCTGGACTCGGTTATACAGGCAGACTTAGAGAGCAATTTTCTTAGTGCATGGATATATCAGTCCATGAGAGTTGGACTCGATTTAGCCGGCAGCAGACTTCCCGCACAGGGACAGTGTAAGTTGATCCGTGAACGACTTTTCTTGATAATAATTGCCGTTTTCTATGCTGCTCCTGCTGCATGGATCAGACAGAGTACGTGACATTTATAAATACATCTCTATTTCTAATAACTGATCTGGATATAAAAAACATTAGGCCGACCAAAACACCTCCTTGAGCAAATCACACATCAGCGTAATGCACCGCTTTCCCTCGGACAGCACGGCATCCATGGCCAAAAACGGATGCGGCATGCCCTTCATCACCTGCAGATCGACCGGGATGCCCGCCTTGATCAGCTTCTCCGCATACTGCTCTCCCTCGGTGCGCAGCACGTCCAACTCGCCGACCATGACCAGCGCCCGCGGCAGCTGCGCCCAGTCACCCTGGTAGAACAGCGGGCTGGCCTCGGGATGGTCCCAGTCCTTCGGATCGGGGAGGTAGTGGTTGCGGTACCAGAGCATCTTGGCGGCGGGCAGGGCAGGGGTGTGCTCGTAGAGCCGGTAGGCCTCGTTGTTGGCAACGGTGGCTGTGTTGTCCATGACGGGCACGGAGAGCAGCTGGGCGCGGAACCGCACGGGCGGCGATAGCGTGAGCGCCTTGTGCGTGATGATGGCGGCGAGATTGCCGCCGGCCGAGGAGCCTCCGGTGGCCATCTTGGTCGGGTCGATGGCGAGGCGCGACGGGCCGTCGTTGATGAGCCAGAGGAGCGCTTCCCAGCAGTCGTGCACAGCGGCGGGCCAGCGGTTTTCCGGGGCGAGTCTGTTCATCCCATCAGAAAATGGATCTGTCAAGTATACCTAGGTACGTCAGGGCGGTACCTGTAGTCAACCGTCACCACGACGCAGTTCCCCCGCACACACAGATTCGTGCACACCGGGTTCTCGGTGTTGATGTTGCCCAGCACCCATCCGCCGCCGTGGAAGTACAGCATCACCGGCCAGCCGGCTGCAGGTTTCTCGCCGCTCGGGGTGAAGCAGCGCAGGGAAATCTCGGGGCCTTCGGTCTCGCGGCGCGCGATGGTGATGTCCTCGGTCTTGCCGACATCCAGCAGCGGCCCACCGCCGGGAATGAGCACCCCGCTTGTGCGCGAGGCCTCGACGGGCTGCAGGTGCACCTGCTGCTGGTTGACGATGTATTTGTTGTAGAAATTGACGTACTCCGGGTCCAGCTTGTCCCGGACGGACTCGTGGAGGGGATACGGAGGCTGGGGGTGATCGGAGACGGACATGGTGACTCGGTGGCGGAGGATAGAGTGAATTGAGGGGTATGGTCACAGACGATAGGAAGCAACAAGGGACCAAGGGGTATTTAATCCAGTGACTCAGAGATCTGCAGGCGCTTTCGCTCTCCTTGGCTCTGGTATAGTTGCATTCGTCGTCCCACGGTGGCATCGGCAGCAAGGGGACGTGGGGGTTTCGGCCCCTTCCTCCCCGCTATCGCAGCCGAGTGATAAGATCCTGAGCCGACCGTCAGACATGGAGAGCTGTTATAACAGCCAGCAGGCCAGTAGGCCAGTGATGAGGCCGTGAAGAGTGGAAACGGGGGACGTACTCCGGAGTACGTGGGGGTTGACGGTCCCGTTTGCCCGAATCGGTAATTGTTATGCAATCCATCCCCGCATCCAGATTCCATCTTCTCCTCTTCCCCGCGGAATTCACCATGACAGCTGGTCTATCCGGAGTACACAGTTATTCTGAGTAGTAGTGTAGGAATCGAGTGCATTGTCGCTGTGCGATTGATTATCTTGGTAGGGTTTGCAATAGATGTCCTATCTAGTACATATTACATGACGTGGTGAATGTCAGACTCTACGACGACAGAGCTAAATAATATAATATATATCTGCCATCTCAATCTCAATCCTCGTGTCTATTCTCCTCTCGTACTTCAGGTCGCGAGATCGGAGCCAGTCCATACCTTTATCAGTGTTAGCAATCGTATATAGCTATGCAGCAAACCAGGAAGATATACGCACCATGTGATCGAGATCAACCCCAGAACAGCCGCCACGCAACTAAACACCAATGCCACAATTCCACGGGCTGTGAACCCGGCAGGCAACGGCGCCGGCGACGTGTTTGCGCCGGTCAGGTCATAGAAGTCTTCGGTATTACCAGCTGCATTGCCGGACGTCTTGGTTCCAGTTGCAGCACAGACATCATAATGATTGCTGGGGATGACGAGCGTTTTCTGGAGCTCAAGCGGTGCTTCGACCATGGTAGCTGCTAGCCCAGAATCCATGTGCCACTCGATATGGCAGTGGAAGAGCCATACACCTACAGTCGACGGTTAGCGGTAAACTGTAGAAGGTTTCGTCAATCGAATTACCTGGATTGTCGGCGCGGAAGCGAACTACGAAATGCCCACCTCCCAAAACGTAGAGCGTGTCTCTCCGCATGGGCGTCTGCGGGAAGGCAGTGTGGTTGCTGGCATTGTAGTGGCCTGCGTTCTCAGCGCTTCGGGAGATGACCTGGAACGCGTGCCCGTGGAGATGGAATGGATGTTTCCCTGTGTCGTCGTTGTTCAGGACGATGTCGATAATGTCTCCTTTTTGGAGGACGAAAGCGTGCGTGTTGGTCCCGTATATCGCTGGGTCGCTGGCCGCCGACCCTGTCGAGAGCACCGAGTACAGGGTCGGGACTTTTGGCATCACGTATGTAATGCCATTGAAGAAGGCGCTGTGGCCAGTTAGCATGTCACATACTACGATTCGGAGGTAGAGCTCACTAGTTGGCGCCGTTGCCGAGATTGTCCATGGTAAGGTCCAAGGAAACAGTATAGTCTGCTTCTCCAAGGAGATGTTCGCGGTCAAAAGGGACGAGATTGAAGTCGTCGTAGGGGTCGAATGAAGACACAGCTGCTGGAGGAGACTTCTCAGCACTATCATCATACACCAGCCATCCGGTCACATTGTAGTTCAACGTCGACGGGACTTGGTCAAAGAGATCCTGCAATGCATAAGTAAAACACATGCACTATCCGCGCGGAGACATACAGTATCCATGCTGCCGACCATCGCATAATTCTTGGTCGTGTCGTTCTTCATCGTCACTAGGACGCTGTATCGCTGGGCGCTGGTGATGTAAATCATACTCGCTTCCGATGGCTCAGTCCAGATGCCGTCTACCTCTACAATCTGCATGGTATGACCCTCGATCCAAAAGTACTGGCTAGCGAAGGCGCCCACGTTCGCAAGATGGAAGAGGTACGTCTTCCCAGGCTCGACCGGCACCGTCAAGTTCTGCGTGTCATTCATCAACGCAGAGTTAGGCACTGGCTCGGCGCCCGTCGGGTTGGTGACGCTGATGAATTGCTTCAGCAGGCTGGGCATCTGATCATGGTACCAGTCCGAGAGGGTGATGACCCGCTCTTCATCGTATTTCCCAGCGTATGGGTCCTCTGGGTCCTTGATGACCAGCGCTTGTCGCAGTCCATCAGGATACTGTCCCCGCGTGTGTGAATGGTACCAGTAGGTACCGGTTTGGTTCGCCTAGCTGTTGTCAGCATGCATCCACGAGGCGATGCGGGTAACGCACTGTGAAGTTGTACACAAAAGTCGACCCCGGCGCAATCTCACACTGAGTCACGCTGGGAGGGCCATCCATATGAGTTGTTCCGTTCATGTAGAAGCCGTGCCAGTGCAGGCTGGTAGTTTCGTTGCCCAGCGCATTGTGCACCCGGGCGATGATCTGATCCCCGCGGGTGAAGTTGAGCACCGGAGGAGGCCATTGACCGTTGATTCCAATGACGGGACGGGTCATTTGCCCATCCGGATTAGCATTCACCCAGGTGATGTTGAAGTCATAGTGGAGCGTCGCTGCCGAGGCCAGGAGGCAGTGCAGGAGGAAGCTGGTGAGAACAAAGGGTCTCAATTGAGTCAACTCCATGACGGGCAACGATAAGAATACGAAGAACCTGCGTGAGAGAGATGGACGAAACTCGGGTTTATCTTTGACAGCTGATCTCGTTGCCTTGTGTGTTGTTGGCGTCCTACTGCAGATGGGGGTTCATCTCGAGGCTTTCCTTTAGACTTTGAAAAATGCTCTCTTACCCGTGGGGATAGAATGGGCAGATCGACCGAATGAGCGTGTTGAAAACCCAGATGGACACCGACGACGCTATATAATTTCTTTTGCTCGCTCTCGTTTCCCTTGTCTGGCGGCACGGGTGGAAATGAGCGATGGAGCCACTGACGCTGATCCAAGGACGCCAACAACGCCTTAGCCAAAGCTTCCGAGCCCCCTCAACCGCGGATCCCACTTATCTGATTTCCCCCGTCGCCATTCACGAGGCTGCTGGTGGGATCAGGGGCCTGTTTGGGGTGGTGGTCCCAGCGCTAGAACGTCAGCATGCGAGCTGGTGACCCATATACGACGGTTGGTATGCGGTTACTGGGCGCCACAAGCCCCCCGACCATTTTCGTCTCGTTTTTCGCGCAAACTCAGTTTAATCAGATAATTTTTCTTCCCGGTACTGGCCGGGGTGGTCTGCTCTCGTCTTCTTTGTTTTCCTTTCCCTCTGCCCGGTACTTAACGTCGTGGTGTCCATGTGTGGGAAAAGAGTGTAGGATACACCGCTATCTAGGGAACTGTGGGAGCCACCATGACGACGAATGTTTTTGCCGTCCCCAGTGGGTTTCTTTCTTCTCTGAATTGAATTGATCGCAATTCTAACGCCGCTAGTCTTTTTTATCTGTTTTCGGGAGTGCGTCGAAACCAGTATTATCGTGTCGGTGCTGCTCTCCTTTCTCCATCAAACACTGGGCGCCGACAGCGATGCCGCAACCCGGAAAAAGCTGGTGAAGCAGGTAGACACTCTCAGCCATCTCTCTCTTCTGGGATACCCGTGTACTCACTGTATTTCGATCAGGTCTGGTGGGGGGTGGCCATCGGGCTTGTCATTTGTCTTATCATCGGGGGAGGCATGATCGGTGCGTTCTATGGGTATGGCAAAGACCACTTTGCAAACACAGAAGACCTCTGGGAAGGCATCTTCTCCCTGATCGCCAGCATCATCATCACCATCATGGGCGCGGCCTTACTGCGAGTCAACAAGCTCAGAGAAAAATGGCGACTGAAGCTGGCCCAGGCCCTCGAGGAGAAGACCGTCCCGACCGGGAAGTGGTCCGACCGATTCAAGCACTGGGCGCAAAAGTACTTCATGTTCGTGCTGCCGTTTATTACCGTGCTGAGAGAGGGTCTTGAAGCCGTCGTGTTCATCGGCGGCGTCAGTCTCAGCTTTCCGGCTTCAGCCTTTCCTCTGCCGGTGATTACTGGGATTCTCGCAGGCATTGCAGTGGGATATGTCATCTACCGGTGAGTCTCGAAAACACACTCCGGGCAGGCAATACAAAGACTGACGATCGCATCCAGAGGTGGCAACCAGACCTCGCTCCAGATCTTCCTCGTCATCTCCACGTGTCTACTCTATCTCGTCGCAGCTGGGCTCTGCTCCCGTGGCGTCTGGTATTTGGAAAACAATACCTGGAATCATCTGATTGGGGGCGATGCAGCAGAAACAGGGGCAGGGCCTGGATCGTACGATATCCGGCAGAGCGTCTGGCATGTAAACTGTTGCAGCCCCCTGGTCAACGGCGGTGGCGGATGGGGCATCTTCAACGCGATTCTGGGCTGGACCAATTCGGCTACGTATGGCTCGGTCATCTCGTACAATCTATATTGGCTGGTGGTGATAGTCTGGTTCGTGATGATGGGATTCCGCGAGAAGCGTGGCTCCTGGCCCCTGGTTGATCCCTTGTTCCGCCGGTCCAAGAGGGCGTCCCAGGGTCAGTCTGAAGAGACTATCAGCTCAGGGGGAGTTGGAGTGCTGATGAATAGCAAGCCGTCCGCGGATGGGGCGACGCGCCTTCAAACGACAGAGGTATGATAGCGGCTGCTGAGGCATCAGTGGAGACTAGGACGGAGGTCTATCTCCTCTGGACAAATAGATTCGATATAAACAGTCAAGACAATGATTTCAACCATGATCCATGGTCTTGGGATAGTCTGCATGAGGGGCTGTCCTGTCAACTACAGACCGCGTAACGCGTTGGGGTCCTTCATAGTTAATACCGGGCTTCAACCGAGCCGAACAATCATTCCGACGCCCTGCCAACCTTGCAGGAGGCGTCTTTCGTGTCGGTAGTGAAAGGTCTGGGTTGGTGGTTGTCGTCGTGTTAGGTCTCCCTTCCATCACGTGCCCCGCCCTTCACAGGGACGACGGTGTCTTTCTCTCCTTTCCTCCCTTTCCTCCTTTCCTACTAGTTACAAAGGTGAACATGGTTCGTATCTGAGACATCCTCTCCTTGGCCTCCTACATTCTATCCTTCGGTCGTCTCTGTCTACTAAGGGCTGTGTTCCCGGATACACGACCCTATCTGACGGCAGAGCGTGTCGGTCGAATCTAGGACATGGCCCCTTCGAGCATACCTAAGCTCTGCCAGGACTACTGTGGGATCAGGACAGTCCACATTTAGCTCACTAGATACGGTGCCTGGAATGCCCGATCCTCGGATCCGGTCGCATGGTCTAAGATCTCAATCCCTACCACGTTCCACTCGGCATTCCGCCGTGGATCGTCCTGCGTTCCTGGGAGTGAATGACATCCCTCTACGACTCCTTCCAGCAGACTAGTACACGAAGGCTCTGTATTTTGGCTCCTATGAAATTGAGGTTGACCATGTTTTCTTCTCCTCGAGCATTCCTTCCCTCACCCGGGATCGCGTTGACGCGACGGGCATTCGATTATATTCCCATGTCGGCATCCAGCCGTTGACTCTTCTATATTCTTTAAACTATGCGGTAAGACTGTCTTCATACGCTTGGGTTACTCTTCGTTGGTCACCTTCTATCATCGCCCATTACCTCGCTGTGGATGCTGCCGTCCAACTGAGAAGCTGTAGCACAGCTAAGCCGCTACGCTCTTGACAGACATCATGGACAAGCAACCGGAAGCACCCAAGAAGAGCGCTTCTTGGACCAGGGTAGCCATCTTTACATCTCTTTACGCCTTGCTGCTGGAGTCCGTCATCGAGTGGGCTCTGGTCCTGTATCTGTACTGGGACCGCCATGTCGACCATAAGATGGCCCCAAGTTTGATACTGGTCTTTGTTGCGGTGAGTGAACCATGAACCGTGGCAGGTAACATACGCTAATGAATTAGGCCTCCTTCACGGTACCACTGGTGGCTCTCCATAGCCTGCTTGCATGGCAATATAACCGAGTCCCGGGGTTTAGACGCCAGAAACAAGTTCTGCGTGTCACCTCCACCTACCTCCTGCGATTGACCATCATTGTTTGGTTGGCTGCTAGTGTAGCGGGCTTGATTGTTGTCACTCAGCAAGTCTCCTGTCTCGCAGATACGACGGATGGGGAGTTCTGGAAGACCGGTGTCAGTTGTGCCCTTCATCGGGCCGCTATTATTGTTTCGGTTCTGTCCTTGTAAGTCTGCTATTGGCATCCTGCATATTGGGCACCAACTAATGTTTTCCAGTATGACGGTGTGCCTTTACTTCTGTTCAAGAGAGCTATGCGATCGTCCATATGATATGTCCCTTCTAGGGGTGTACAAGCAGACCGTGATAACTCGCGACGACACTCTTGTCTCGCACTCCAGTTCGGAAACCGATCATTCTTATAAAAACGAAATGGGATATCTCTGTCGAACGCCAGACACCTACGGGAGCAGGGGCCTGTATCCGTCGTCTAGTGACAACTCCATCGACAAACCCCATGTTCCAAACCTTCAACATCCCGCCCCAATACGTCCAACGCCGCAGCTGAACATCGGCGGAGATCATCAATCCGAACACGCTGAGATCGTATCAGGCTCAACGGTGTCTCCTATAGGAACGCTTCGCGATGGCAGTACGAGTGACAGTGTCTCTCGCACCCCAACCACGGCTACCTCACGAACGGGCGTCGATTCCAATGCGCAGCCACCCGTCCCCGAACTTCCAGCCGGGCTCGTCGCCGCTGGCTCCGGACATACAAGACATAAATCCTCGGCTTCAATGTCATCTCTCCGCAAATATCTCCCCAAGCTGTTCGCACTGTCGCTCCCGCTGTCCTCAGATCCTCAAATTCGGGCTCTTGCCGACCCAAACGCCCCTCGTGATGTCGAGAAGCAGCCGGTGAACGAGGTCCAGCACAGGCCGGCGGTCTCTGATGAGAAGCAGCTCGCACCTCCGCCTATCGAAGGACCCGATCACCCGCCGATCATGTCGCCTACTGTCATCAACATGCGACCATCGGAATCTCGTCCTGCGCCGCGGTCCATGACCATGGCCTCTGCCAACGCCCCAGAGGTAGTCGAACCCCCGCCCAGTGTCCACAAGACATGGACCACCGCGACAGTGCGGCGGACTCCCGCCGGCCCGCCGCCGGTCTACAGAGCCATGCCACCGAACCCATTAGCATGGCACCCCGTCAATCCCACCGCGCCCATCCGCCAAGGATCCGCCACGGAGCTCGGGAGTCCCGCGCCTCGCACCGCCCGACGTAACGCCCGACGCCAAAGCCAGGTGTATCATTTTGAGCCGTCCCAAGTCCCTCGGTACACCCGTAGCCACTACCACCCGCCCAACCGCTACGGCAGCTACGGTCGATCCCCACGCCGCATGTCTTCGTTCTCGAATCGAAACGACATTGAAATCCTGTACCCCAGCACCCGACGCCCTCGCAGCACCACGTGTGGGGGCATCAGCTCGTTGGACTCTATCCGGGAGTCCGGGGCGTCGGTGGATGAGTCGCCCGGGAGTGATCTTGCCGATGAGAATACGTACCGAGGGACTACGCGGACCAGCGTGCATGGGTACTAGATGATCTGGTCTGCGGGCAGACTTGAGCATGGATGGGGAATCTCCTTTGTTATTTGTATTTCAGCAAGCCCTTCCAGTTGGATTTCGGTTCGAATGATGGTAATATGTCATGGCTTATGCAGGTCTATGTGGTGTATATTGGGTTTTATTCAAGCAAATGTGTCATGACAATTAGTTAGAATAGACGTGTGTTTATAAATCAGTCTCCCTTGTACTGTCTGAGTGGCGGTGCCTCCCCTTGTCCAGGTATGCTGGTAGGATCCCTGAGAAAACGCGTCAGTGCTAGGCTATGCCGAGCAAACCACATAATCTTTCGACCTGCGGGATGTTAACACTTCTTGGACGTACATTTAGCGTTGCTCTCGCCTCAGCTAAGCCTGTTCAAGCTTTTAAATCAGGCCGATCACTAAGGACGCCTGAGTTGACATAGCGAGCAAAGATCTACACAGCTTATCCGGCGCTTCCAGAGATGTGATTTGTAGCGGTGGCTGGCCGATCTTCTCTTAATGTAGAGGATGGGACGCCTAAAGACATGACGAGAGAATATAACAATGACCTGTTTGACTAGAAGCAGGTCAGTCGTTGACCAATATCATCCCTATACCACGCTCTAGAGATCATGGTCAAGATTAGGGGTCTAACAGTGCACGCTTTCTGCCTTACAGCTTTCATATCCTCGGTGACTGCAGACTCACCAGGAAGCCCTCTCTACTCTGGCGCATTTCCCAATGAAGCCAATGGCTATGCCCGTGTAATTCAACTCCAGCACGCAGGCGATCAGAACGGCAAGCTGCTGGCTACCTGGGAGCACTGGTACACCACAGGTCCCGACAGCAAAGCGCCCAACGGCACCGCAGGGAACTTCATCATCCTCGAAAGCGCGAGCGACAAAGGCGACGCCTGGTCGACTCTGGCAACCGTTCACGACCCGCAAACAGGCCCCGGACATCCCAGCCCGTTCTTCTACCAGCCGTTCCTCTTCGAGTTCCCCCAGCAGCTCGGCAAGTACCCAGCGGGCACCTTACTCCTCGTCGGCAATCTGAGCAACGGAACAAGCACGCAGTTCTTCTCCTGGCGGTCCCGCAACCATGGGAAATCATGGGACCCCGTCGGCGCGTGGCAAGAAAGTGCGTGGCAGAACGGTGACACATCGAATGGCATCTGGGAGCCGTTCCTGTACCTCGACAGCAAGGGCCGCCTCGTGGCGGTCTTCTCCGACGAGCGCGGTCATCCAGCGCACAGCCAGATGCTGGTACATGTCGTCTCCGACGACGGCGGCGACACCTGGAGCGGGGGTGATTGTGTCGACGGGACCGATTGTGTCGTCCGCGACGTGGCCAGTCCCGTGAGCAGCCAGCGCCCCGGCATGGCCAGCGTGGCGAGAATGGACAACGGCGAGTACTTCATGAGCTATGAGGTGTGTCTGGAGTTCAACGCCGTCTGCCACGTGCACGGGAAAACGTCCCCGGATGGCATCAACTGGAACGAAACCGACGTGGGCGTCGCCATCGAGACCGCCGACCGCATTTCCCCCTGGGCGAGCCCGTACACGGTCTGGGACCCGGCTGCGAAACAGCTGGTGCTGGGGAGTATGCAACAGTTTCTGAACAACACGGTGAACTTGGATGCGCCGGAGAACCACCGCTCTGTCTTCATCAACAAGAACCACGGCAAGGGCGAGTGGTTCTGGGCCCCGTCGCCGTGGACGGCGCCCGCTAGCACCGATATCTGCTCGTCTAACCGTAGCCCGGATCTTCTTCCGCTCGCGGGCGGTGGTATTCGCTATACGGCTCCAGCGCCGGAAGGGAGCACGGGGTTGTGTGGAGAGCGGACGGGGAACGCGTCCATCGGCGCCTTGCCCTACACAGCTGACTTTGCTGCCGACGGCCAGGCGGGTTGGATTGTTTTGGGGGGGACGTGGAACTGACGGGGAGTACCGCTTTGCGGCAAGTAATGCAAGTGCCGTGGCTGTGACGGGGTCGTCTGGATGGAAAGACTACGAGCTCAGTGCGGACGTTATGATCTCGGGCACTTCTGGTGTGGTTGGTCTGAGTACGTGGGTCTCTGCCTCGTCGACGGGCCAGAATTCGTTGAAGAAGTATACAGCTGCCATCAGCAGCGCCTCGGGTAACTTGACTATCTCCCGCGATGGCCATGATACCACTGTTCTGCATTCGGCGGCTCATCCTGGTGGTATCCAACCGAACAAATGGTATCATCTGTCGTTTGCTGTGCAGGCAGACAAGCTGACTGTCGAGCTCGCTGGAGGTCGGAATGGATCGCATAGCAGCTTTACAAGCACGGATGGCGGTTTTCATCAGGGAATGGCGGGCTTGTTTGGGAAGAGCGGCAGTGGGAGTTTCAAGAATGTCAAGATAACAGACTGAGTTGAGGTGTTTGGCAAGGGAGAGTAGTATCTGCTGTGTCTACCCACTGGAGGTTATCATTATTGTCGTATTCCTGTTATCGGCTGGTGTAGTTTCTCCAGAATCTATATAATTTAAGGCTCTCGTGCTCTACATACGGGATATAGTTCTAACGAGACAACCATCCACCGTCTAGACCATCTTCCACCATTACCACCCTACCCGACCACTCAACTTGAAATACCCGCGTTGGAGATTCTGAAATACCTGATCAGGATCATATTTCCGCGCAACCATCCGCAGCCGCTTCACGTTCTCCGGCCCGTAACTCTCGACCACATCCTGGAACTGACTGGCGTAATTCATATAGACAAACGGCTCATACAAACCCATGGCGCGAGCCCGCGCATTAACCCGGTTGACCAGATTCCCAATAGCCTGGAGAACGCGCATATCATCCGCCGGGTCCCTCCACCGAAACGCAGGATTCAGTATCATCAACGGGTGCGTCGAGCCAGCCAACCCCAACGGATTGCCCCCGTTCTTCTCCATGGACCGCAGGATATCCGTCGTGAAGACCTGCATGATGCACCGAGCCTCGAGCCCGTCTAAATCCCCAAGCTGGCTTGTCTCCTCGAGGAACACGTCCTTGACGAAGCCGGCCAGGTCCCGATCCAGCTTGTACGTCGCCGTCCAGTAGCTCTGGCGGTACCCGTCCGGCTGGCCCAGGTAGTTGTGCCAGCTGATGTTTGACTGGCGGCTTACCGCCGTGGTGTCCGAGTACGGCACGGCCTCCTGCAGCGCGCTGAAGATGGACGGGTCCGGCTCCGGCTCGGTGTGATACAGGTCGACGGTTGCGTGGTGCTTCGCGTTGGTGTAGTAGATCGTGGTGATCTGGTAGGCTAGTGGGTTCTCTGACGCGCGAAAGCCGAAGTCGACGTACGCGTCGAGCACCGAATCTACCTGGTCGATCGTGTAGTTGCGGATTCCTCCCCACATGAACTCGTGGTGCAGAGGCTTGAAGTCGAAGCGGGTGATGAGGGCAAAGTTGGAGCCACCGCCGCGTAGCGCCCAGTACAGGTCTGTGTGGGAGTCGGTGTTGACGTTGATGATTGATCCGTTGGCGAGGACCGCCTGTTCGGTGGTCAGTTAGCCTATGAACGCATTCCAGAGCAGGGACATGTGATGGAGGCGAGCTCTAACCTGATAGTTCATCACGTTGTCGCACACGAGCCCTTCCCTGCCGGAGAAAAAAGACAATCCACCTGATCCAGTGAGCTTGCTAGTATACTGCAGTCAATGATTGGGATGCACTCACCTCCAAGGGTCAACCCACCAACTCCTACCGATCCTGTTCGGCCGCCAGGAACGGTCAGGTTTCTCTTCTCCAGCTCACGATAGACCTGTTGCCAGCGGTTGCCTGGGCCGATTCTGACAAACGAGCTATCATCTGAGACTGTTACTTCGTTCAGCCGTTCGAGGTTAATAGTAAGGCCCTGGCGGATATTTGATGCGCCTCCGAAGGTGGCATGGCCGCCGCTTTTCACCGCGAACGGACATGCCTCCTCGCCGGCGAGGCGAACCGCGTGGGCTACTTCTTGCTCGTTACCAGGCAGGAAGAAGCAGCTGGGGTTTAGGTTCCCTGCCTGTTGGGCAAAGTATGTGACCTGTTGGTCTGCGTATCCCTTGTCATCCTGGGTAAGGACGGTCCCGGGCAGGTCCAGGGAGAGCACTTGGCACTGGCGTTGGAGTGAGTTTGTCTGGATATATTCTCAATCAAATATGGTATAAGAAACTGACCACTCTGCTGCAGGGCTGCTCAATTCCACTCCCAAATGTGTCGACATGACTCTGCGAGAGTATGCTCTGCCCTTGGGACCATGGGCCATCCCGACCTGAAAGAACCATCGCGCGAGGTGCCTGTGCCCAGAGCAGAGCACAAGAATAAAGACCAAGCCATGATATCATTTTGTATAAGACTGGCTCTGACTTTGGTGTGAGTTTTGCACAACAGCAGGCGGCTTGAACACCCAGATTTATAGCTACGCCAATGCTATGATCGAATTACCTCCATCGCGTTGATTGCCTTCTATGCCCTATTCCGCCGGGGGGGAGTTCCATCAGACAGGCCCCATCTGTACGATATCCTTTGAGTCATTGCAGAAATCGTCCGATTCGGCATAACGATGCATCATAGAAGTATATCACACCCCGAATCAGGTCGTGCATGCCTGCTTGAATCAGACAAACCAGCACTTCTGATGCACCAAGCTTGTTTTCTCTATGACCCCTTGCCTCTGGAACGTCAGGACTCGGACATCGCCACAGTTCAACGGGTCTGGCCGCGTGGATTTTCCAGTCCGGGTATACCTGGAATGACCCGCTTCCTTGATTGTGCATTTCGCGTCCTCGTGTTGCCAGATCGGGTAGACTGCGCCAACTCTATCGGAAGATCGAGATGTTCTATATCTTGCTTGACCATGGAAGGCATGACATGTGTAATGGGAATCAGGTTTTCCATCAGGCACTATTCGGAAACGCTGTGTTATAAAGCTCCCTAGGTGGTCTGCTGACAGTAGTCAATTCGTGGCTTTCTCATATCATCGGCCAAACAGAGTACCTTAAGATGAGACTAACCGAGTGCCTTTTTGTCTGCCTGACAGGCTGCAGCCTTGCCTCTGTCGTTCCTCATGGCCAGACGGTGTTGCATCTACCGGGGGAAATCCCTCCGCGGAACCCTCCTATCGTCAACCCGATCAGAGCCCCATATCAGGATCCCAAGCAGCCGACCTGGCTGCGTGTGGAGGACCTGCTGTCGCGGATGCCGATGCGGGAGAAGATGGCTCAGTTGATGCAGGGCGAGCTTGAGAAATGGGTGGACTTTACGACGGGAGAGTTTAATATCAGTGGGATGAAGGACCATATGTTCTATCACTCGGGGATGCTGCGAGGTACTCGATCAACAAGAACTGGATATGAATATCGAGATCTCTGCTAACGGACAGCAGTGAGCCATCCTTTGACGACTGCCGAGATCTCCCATCAGGGTGCACACCTTTTGCAGGATTGGATCATGAATGATACCAGTCTATCGCTTCCTGCCATCGTGCAATGCGAGGGTATGTATGACAGTGAGTTGTTTTGTCTGCCAGACACTGACGCATCCTCGCGGTAGGTCTCCACGGATTGGGTGTTCCAAACGCCACCATTTTTACTTCGCCCATCGGACTCGGGGCCTCCTGGAATCCTGAAGTATGCACGCCGTTTATGTTGTTCCGAAAGAAAAGACAGGATCTAACTTATAAAGCTGGTCGAGCAAGCAGCACAAATCATTGGCCAAGAGGCACGAGCACTCGGCATTACTCAAGTCTTTGCTCCGTCCGCAGACCTGGCCAGGGATCCCAGGCATGGTAGAGTAGGTAGTACCCTGGCCGGCAGGCTTGAACTTGATACTCATTTGGCGTTCAGGTCGAAGAATCAATGTCTGAGGATCCATACCTGGCTGGCGAGATGGTAGCACATTTCGTGCAAGGACTTTGGAAGAACAAGGTTGCTTCTATCGTCAAACACCTCGTGGCATATGGAAACTCCGAGCAGGGGATTAACATGGGGCCCGTCCATGGAGGCGAACGCGAATTGCGTACAACCTATCTGCCGCCATTTCGAAAGGCCATCGAGGCTGGGGCGTTCACGGTCATGACCTCATACAATTCGTGCGTCAGAAACTTTCTGTTCGTCGATCGTGATTACTGACAATGTCTAGCTATGACGGGATACCATCGGTGATGAACAAGCATCTACTCACCGATATTCTTCGCGGCGAATGGGACTTTCAGTATTGGACTACCACAGATTATGGGGCCCCGAACCGACTGTGCACGGCGTTCAAAATGTGCCGTGACAATCCCATCGATGCAGAGGCGATTACCATGAAGATATTTCCTGCTGGACAGGATACTGAAGGTGGAGGCTCTTTGTATGCTCACACCTTCCGCAGTGTTGTTGCAAGGATTGCCCATTGACTTGGATAATATAGTAACTTCGACTCCATTCCCGACCTAGTCAATGATGGAACTCTGGATATCGCCATCGTTGATGAAGCCGTGCGACGGGTGCTGCGCGCTAAGTTTGATATGGGGCTGTTTGAGGACCCTTTCCCTGCTGCGGCGCCGGAAGATTGGCCCAACCTGATACACACTGACAAAGCGCTTGAAGTAGCCAAGCAGTTGGATCTGGAGTCGATTGTCTTACTCGAGAATCACGATAACACCCTGCCTTTGAAGGACGATATTGGCAGTATTGCCGTCATCGGGCCGTTTGCAGACACCGTCAACGTGAGTCTGGTCCTCCTTCCTATCTTCTGTATAATTAATTCCAGCCCTAACTTACTCGATATAGTATGGCGACTATACTATGTCACGCCCCCGTGGGGTCACACCGCTAGACGGGATCCGGAGCAGGGCCTCGCAGGGAGTTCATGTCAAGCATGCAAAAGGATGTGAGGCATGGAGCAATGACGAATCAGGCATACATGAGGCCACCGAACTAGCCAAATCGTCCGACGTGGCAGTGGTAGTGGTGGGCACCTGGACGCGCTCGCTGGAAGGTCAACAAGAAGGATTGAATGCAACGTAGGTGCTCCCAACGCCACCACGTTCAGAGCTAACACCTAGTAAAGCACCGGAGAGGCATATGACACCAACGACCTAGGCCTCGTCGGCGCACAACGATTGCTCGTCCAAAAAGTCGCAGAGACCGGTGTACCAACCATTGTGGTATTCTCCTCTGGAAAGCCAATTGTAGAGCCGTGGATTTCCAACGCAACTGCGGCGCTTCTCCAGCAGTTCTATACTTCAGAGCAAGGAGGCGAGGCACTTGCAGATGTTTTATTTGGCAAATACAACCCCAGCGGCAGACTGCCACTGACATTCCCGCGCGATGTGGGCAGCCTGCCAGTGGTGTACGACTACCTAGACTCGGGCCGTGCAGACGATGAGCCAGGCCATATTAACGACGATGGGAGCATTGAATTCGGACGCACGTATGTGACGGGGACGCCGCTGCCATGGTATGAATTCGGATACGGGCAGAGCTACTCCACCTTCGAGTACTCGAAGGTCGAAGTGGATAGGAAGCATGTCAGGAAGACGGATACCATCACCGTCAGCGTGCAGATTGAGAACACCAGTGATCGAGACGGTGTGGAAGTCGTCCAGCTTTACGTTGCGGATCCGGTGAGCTCGGTGGTCACGCCGAACAAGCAGCTCAGGGCTTTCCAAAAGGTTTTCATTAAGGCCAGGGAAACGGCTACCGTGATGTTGGACTTGAAGGTGAGAGAAATCGGACTTTGGGACCTGGATATGAAGTATGTGGTTGAACCGGGCGAGTTCGTTGCGTACGTGGGAAGAAGTGCTGGTGATCTTAAGGGGGGAGTTTCGTTCTATGTGGATTAGCCACCATGACATCAGCAAGCACTTGCTGCACTCTTATATTGCAAGTCGCGGTGTACGGAGTATGGCATAATGAAGAAGAATAAGGCATTTCGGATTAGCGCAAGCTAGATCTCCACTACCCCGGGATTACCAGTAGATCTTGTCCATATCCAGATTAGTCTAGAATAGGTTAGACTGACCTAATTTTAAAAACCCCACCAATCAAAACGCGAAACCCCTGTCGCGTTACATAAGGCAGACCCACCCATATCAACAATGGAATTCATCACGTCTCACGCAGACCATATTCTTCCTCTACAACATTGTTTGATACCATCACCAACTCACAAACGCCATGGATACACAACCCGCCAAGCGGTCGCGCGCCAACTCAGCGGGCAACAGTCACGTCCGCACCCAAGAAGACGCACCCACTCTCCCAGGCGAAGACAAAACCACCCCCGTCGCGTCGACACCCAACATCGACATCCGCAAAGACATCAAGTGCCTCGACGTAGAGACAATTCAAACCATCCTCATCGCCGCCGCCAATACATACCCAGCCCTCAAGGCGGTCGTACAATCCGCCATCGAAAAGCGCCGCGAAAAGGAACAAAGCCGCATCATCTATTTCGGCCACTACTCCAGCGCCATCTGGAAGGAAATCAACGTCCGATACAGGGGCCTCGGCGGCGGGAAGCAGTGCGACCTGTCTGGGGACGTTTTTCACGGCATCACGGCTGACCTGAAGCGCATTGCGGAGCAGTGCGGGCCGATGGCGAATCCCAAGACGCGGTATAACGGGCTGTCTGTGTTGCGGAAGATCGGGAAGACGATCTGTCTCTCGAGTACTGATGTCCCTGGGCATGAGGTGCAGCAGTGGTTTGGGTGGGATACGACACTGGAGGACTGCATGCTTAAGATTGTTTCTGCGATGAGTCCGAAGGAGAGGAGTGATATTACTGGGGATGATTCGAGTGACCAGGCGCTTTGGCCGAAGTTGGTTGAGTTGGAAGGACTTGCGGAGGAGCATTATGTGTTTAAGGGTTTTTCTAAAGTGATGGAGTTGTTGCTGGAAGGGGGTGAGGTCCAGTATGTGGACGATGTTGACGGGGAGGATGAGGATGAGGACGACGACGATGCTATTCCTTCTTACGACGGAGGGTTCTTCGCCTCTAAATAATCTTTCCGGTACTGTGGTTCGGACTTTGGAGTATTCTCTTCATCTCTTGTATATTAGCTTCCCACATCATGCATTATGTCCACTCGCATACAACAAAATTAATAGATATCATTATGTAGATTTATCTCGTCCCATTTCATACGTCACTCTAGCTCATGTCGCGGCGGCTCTTGCGAGGACATTATCTCTTGCGGATGCACCTTGTCTTTCGTCGTCAACTCCTTTGGGTCATCCTTTGTCGTACTCAATTCTTTAGCTGCTTCATCCTCGGGCCTGGGTGGTAACTCGGCCAGTCCCCTATGAACCGGTCTTCTTTCCTCAACGGGGGTCTCGTTCTCAGCATCGGGACGTCTGCGACGGCGCCGCAACACAATCCACACCGCTGCGACGATGAGAATCGCGCCACCTACGCCCACGCCCACACCGATCCCCACCTTTGCTCCGGTCGAAAGGCCGCCACCATCTGCACTGGTAGAGTTGGCCGAAGATGCCGGCAGAACAGTCCAGTGCTTCGCCCAGCTCTGCTCCCAGGACTGGTTTGATGCAGCAAGACTCCGGTCCTGGACGTTGACGGCGGTGATATCCGCGTCGGCCAGGTCCGGACCAGGCGCCTGGCCCAGGAACCACGTCCCGGTACCATTTCCTTCGAACCAGTTGACGCCGACGAATGCGGCCTGGAGAAAGGCTCGACCGATGACAGGGCTGTCGGTGGAGTGGAAGCAGGGGAAGTAAGTGGCGTTTTGGTCGACCAGAGGGTCTTGCAGCGTCAGGGTGAGCAGCCGCAGCGGAACCTTGATGGTGATGGTCTGGTCGGTCAGGGCGTTCTTGTTGAACGTGAAGGCAAGGTACGTTGCGGAGGTGGTGATGTTGGCGTAGTTGCTGGCCGTCGTGTCCCAGATGTACAGGCCCAGCTCCGAGTCGAAGGAGATGGAGAAGACAGACGTGATCGCATCGCAGGTGGCCTTGGGGAGATACATGTAGGGTTTTGTGGGGTCGATGGTGGCGGTTTTAGGCACGACAGCACCACTGTCTTGCAAGAACAGTCCGTTCTTGCTCGTAAACGCAAACGGCGACCCGCCGGTGGCCACGCCCAGTCCGATATCCTTCAGTTCAATCTGCCATGCGCCACTGGCGTAGACGTTCGAGTCCACGGGTTGCGCACTCACCTCGCCCAGAGCGCGGCTTTTGTCATAGCCACCCAGCACGAGCGAGCCTGGAATGGCGGGATCCACAGACCCGATATGCATTGCATACGAGTACGACGGGATGGCGTTGTCGACCCCCGAAGCGTAGAGCCACCCGGCGATCATGTTGAGGGTCAAGCCGGATCCTGTATCTTTCAGATACGGAGCGCCCAGTGCGAGGGTCCCCACCGGCACGGGGTATTGCTTGCCATTGGGGTAGGTCTGGTATGTTTCGTAGATAGTCGTAAAGCTGATATTTGGCACGACGGGGCCAATGTTGACCTGATCTCCTACTCTGCCTTGGATACTTCCGCCTTCGACGCTCCAGTAGGTAGTTTCCCACGAGCTACGGTTCGTAACAAGCGCCGTTTTCGATTCACTTTCGTTGTAGGTGCCCGCCCGAGCCGCGTAGCATGTTGTCGAAAGGGTTGTATTGGCGCAGATCGAGTCGGCCAAGATGGTGGTAGCGTAATTGGCACCGGGATAGAGATCGATGGGTTGATTGTTGCTCCCGACGTCTATGCGCACGGCTTGCCATGGACCATCAGGACCGTATGCCTGTGACGACCAGTTCATCGCCAGTGGCTTCACGGCGTGAGCCGCATCCCCGAGGATGGAGAGAAGGAAGAGAGAGCGCGTCCGCATCGTCGATGAAGCAGCCCGATCTCCATGGGATGGTCTGAGCCGGAACGTGCAGAGGGGGGAACGCCAGTTAGATATGACAATCGGGTGAACCGGGCGGCCCCTCTTCAGCTGTGAGACATGGGTTCATATTGGTGCTGACATGCATTCCACTTCGGCAAGGGTGCCTGCTCCAGGCCATTCCGCATGGAGTAGTGGATGGCTGATCGCTGTGATGATCGGGGCGGGTTGCGTGATAATCGCTCGGATGGAGTAGTCCAGACTGTCTGTCTGTTTGTGAACACAGCGGACCACCCACAACGGAGTGTATCTATCGATATTCTTTTGAATTTCTGGGGAATATTGATAGACACACTCCGACGTAGTACAAGTAGGACAGGAATGGGATGAAGCTGGCTTGGTGGCAATCGGGAGATAAGGGGGCTGGGGGGCCTAAGATTACTTTAGGGCGCAAAGCTTGTGTGTTAGCGTGTCAGCCTTTTCCAGCAGACTGCAGAGTCGTACAGAGTCGTACAGAGTATCACAGCATGTGCCAATAGTGTCATCTTACAGAATAGATAGTACCTGCAGTATGATCCAGCCCACCAACGCCCAACCAACCCTAAACACCAATACAAGAATCCATAGACCATAAACCCTAAGCACTATGCCTTTGTGCCCGTCTTTGGCACGTGTTTGTAGCGATAGGCCTGCTTCCGGCGCCCCTGCTCATCGACATGCTCCTTGTCCTCGCCCATCTCCTTCTCGCCCCAAGTCCACATCAACACTCGACTCATCCGCTCCCGTTCTTTCAACAGAAGTTCCACCCGGCGTTCCCACTCCTTCTCGCGTTTCTCCACCGACCGTGCAATCCGCTGGTCCATCGCTGCAGCCGTCTCATCTTTGACCGCAATCACCGACTCCAACCGTCGGATCTCCTTGCGGAGGGCTTGGATCTCATTTTCTTCCGTGGAGCGCGATGTGCGGAGGGATGCCAGTTCGGCTTTCAGCTTAGCCTCCCGCTTCTCAGCAGCAGAGAGGAGATCACGTAGTTTGCGGGTCGAATCGGCGTGGGAAGCGCGAAGGGTGGAGATGGCAGTACTGTGGGCCGTTTGGAGACTCTTCAGTTGAGCCTGGTGGGACTCTTCGAGGGATCGAGTGTCTTGACGGGGCGTTTGAGGGGAGAGGGGTGGGCTAGGCTGCTGCATCTTCTGTTCATCCTGGAGACGGTCGACGGTGTTCAGAGCTTCAGCATGCTCATCCCGCAGTTCGCGAAGATCACTCTGGGCTTTTTCAAGGCTCGACTTCAGTTCTTCGTTCCGTCTGCCCAGTACGGCGTTCTCGTTCTCAATGGATTTGATGAGAGCTTGTGCTTCAACTGCTTGCTCTTGGGATCGGGTCAACTGCGCCTCAAGCGTCTGCCTCGCGGTTATTGTCTCCTTCAGTTCAGCGTGTACTTTCGCAAGCTCGTCCCGAAGCTGATCAATCTCAAGTTCTCCAGGCTCCTTCTCCTTTAGAGGAACATCACCAGGGCGAGTCGTAGTGGGTTGGCCGAGATCCTTGATCAATTCCAAAATCTCCGTGTACGTGTTTCCGCCGCTTTCCAATGGAAGATCCGCCGCCATAGCCTTCAGCGCATTCTCCTGGGCAGTAACCTGCGACTGGGCACGATTCAAGTCAGCTTCCAAAGTGCTGTTCTTCTCCTCCAGTGGCCGGTTCTTGGTCTCAAGAGACGCAATCCGCTCCTCGAGCACTTGATATTCCCGGTTGGCTCGGTCAATCTCAGCTTCTAGCTTTTCAATTTCCGAAACATGGTCGTTAATCTGGTCTTTCAATCCATCGATTTCCGCATTCTTCTCGGACAGCTGCTGTTCCTTGGCAGAAGTGACCTCTTTCAGCTTCGCCATCGTTTCATCCAGGGTCGCATCCCGCTTCTTCAGTTGCTCCTGAGCTAGATTCAACTGCTGACGCAGATGAGCGATATTTTCGAGTCTCTCGGCGTCCAGATCGGTGTGTGGGCTTCGATTCTGCAACTCCTTTTGCATATCCCCAATCTGCTTTTGTAAAGCACTGAGACCAGAGTCATTCACGGAAGCATTCTGCAGTAGGGCTTCTTTCTCCTCATTCTGTTTCTGAAGTAACTGGACCTGCTCCCGCAAGAATAATCCATCTCCGCGTAATGACTGCAGCTCGTTCAGTTGATCCGTTTTGCTTTTCAATTCGGACTGCAGATGCTTGATGACTTGATCAGCAGCCGACTCTGCCTCCGAGTTGCGGTGGTAGTTCCTCTCCAGTTCCTCATCTCTTTCCCGGACCGTCTCTTGGAGGTTGGCAATCTGTCGGCGCAGCTTCTCGTTCTCCGCATCGTGATCCTGACCCGGCGTAGTCTTATGCTTCCGCACGGATGGCGTAACCGCCGTATCGGACTCGTCGTCCGGGTCCTCCTCGATGTTCTCGAGATGCGTCACATCCTTTGCTAGGCCACTGGGTCTGCGCAGGAGATGTGAGGGCGTCGACATGTCGACAGGCGGGCCGAATTCGCTATACTCGCCCAGCTCGGCTTCATCTTCCGCGCCAGGCCGATGCATGCTGGAATCCTGCTGCTGCTCCTGCTGTTTCTGTTCTTCCTCCCGCTCCCGCTCTCGCTCTTGCGCTTCCTCCTGCTCCTGCTCCTGCCGCAGCTCCTGCAGTTCGTCGTCACTCTCGTGCAGCTCTTCGTGTCGCTCCTCCTCGTCAAAGTCTTTGTGCTCAAACGTGTCGTCATCTCCCATGAGGTATTTCTCCAGATTTGCCGTAAAATCTTCCGGTCCGCCAACATCCGACAAGCGGTCTTCGTGCGGCAATTTCAGATCCGGGAGAGGTTCGTCGTCCAGTTCCGCATGTCCACTGGGAAACTGACTAAAGTCGACGGTGTATTCGGCTAGACGCGCGTCGAGCGTGTTGGCTGGGCGAGCGGGGGAGGAAGCGCGCGATGATCGGGGCGTGGTCGACTCGGGCAGCGGCTTGTCGTCGTGGGGGTTCGTAGCGACACGGTCGGAAGCAGGGCTGGAGGATTGCGTGTCCTCAGGGACTCGCGCGGGGGGCGAAGAGGGCATGAAGAGCGGCGTGGCGAGGGTGGACGCGCCCACGGTGTCGTGGGTGGTGGTGTCGGCCATGATGGGTCGAAGGGAGTGGTAGGACTGCGTGATTGTTTATACCGCGGGATGCGGCATTTCTAGGGGCGCAATTACTGATTGGGATCCTGGTGTCTGGCGGGTCTGAGATCGATAGATAGTTTAGAGTGAAGTAGAGTGAAGTGGTTAAGGGTGGTGGATGGAGACGCGACGTTAAACCCGCTGGGTTGTGGCCTGAAACCTCAGGTTGCTAGGTGGTTCCAAATCGGGGTTGTTTATGGGCTGCCGTATCGGGTTTAGTCTGTTGTGATGTCAGATCGATTATATCAGCGAGATCGTCATCGGATTTACATCGGACTTAGCGATCGACTATTCGTACAGAGTACATGATTGCCAGAGCTGTTATGATGAGTGGTACTGTGGGAGATTAGATCTAGATATGATGAATCTAGATATGTAGTTGTACCTGTTTTGGTAGATACATGCATAGACCTTTTGCTCGAAGGCGACCATTGCATTTGTCTGTCCGTGATAAGTACTATACTTCTTCTACATGATCTACATGACACCCTCACTTTGATGATTCCTATATTGAGTTCATGCATATCTCATGTTCTGAGAGAAATGAAGAGACCAAATTCTCGCCGTCAATGGATGCTCATCTGTATAGAGCGCGTGGCATGGGAGTGCAAGGGGCTTGAAGTCGATACTGTTCCATTTCGAGATATCTTCGATCTATTGGTTGGAGACAACATCCGGATGACAGCCTGTAACATCATGGCCTCTTCCCACCAGCCACATTATGAAGCGGCACCATCCAGCTGGATTCGAAAGATCGTGAAAGATCGTGGAAACCAGCCAAAGCCTAACGAAGATTCATGCACGGCACGGATGATGTCATACGACCGTATACGAAGTTGTCACCCTTTTACGATGCGACCCAAGATGGAGATAATTTCCTGTATTATTCTTCAAAATCTGTGTCTCTACTGGATCCCAAATTCGATGCCAAGGATCCTTTGATTGATTCCTGCGTCATGCATCGGTCGGTGCCTTGGTCGGACCGTGGATGCTGTACATACTTAAGAAACACAGCCCATCGCTCACGACTTATACAATATGCTTTCGAAGGCTATAGACGAGGGAATGATTTCTAGCGATCAATGATAGTTTTGCATAATGGCGGCAATCATCTCACGCACGGCGCAGAAGACACCACGGCTCATGAATATATACCCATCTAGAGTTCTTTCATCACACTCTCTACATCGCACATGTGCCACTAAACCATCATGGTCGGTCTTCGGCACACGCTCCATGTCAACCGATACGGTGCCCCCGGAAGTCAAATCAAACCCATCCCCTCCAACTAGACATGCCCCTCGAAAAGTCTATCCGAATTTCAGTCTTCAGGATAGAGCGTACATCATCACCGGAGGCGGCAGGGGCCTAGGTCTAGTGTTGGCCGAGGCGATAGCTCAAGCAGGAGCAGCAGGTTTGTCCGTTGCAACCATCTGAACAAGACACCAGCTGACAAACACATAGCACACTGTCTCGACCGACTCCCTGAGCCAGACCCCGAGTTCCTCGTCGCCCAAGAAGACGCCCAGCACCACAAAGGCTCCCTGCATTACCACCACGTGGATGTGCGGATTGGCGAGGAGCTCGATCAAACCGCCGCCGCCATTGTGTCTCAACATGGCCGTCTGGACGGTCTGGTGGCGGCAGCTGGTGTGCAGCAACTGAAGGAAGCGGTCAACTACACCAGCAAGGACGTGACCGAGATGCTCGACGTGAACTATACTGGTGTGTTCATGTCCGCGAATGCGGTGGCGCGGCAGATGATCGCGCGTAAACACGGCGGGTCGATTGTTCTCGTCGCGAGCATGTCGGGAATTATCGCGAATAAGGGCCTCAATTCCCCCGTTTACAACTCGTCCAAAGCGGCCGTCATCCAGCTAGCCCGCAACCTGGCGATGGAATGGGGGAAGCATGGGATTCGGGTCAACGCTCTCTGCCCCGGACATATTGTCACCCCGATGGTGCAGAAGAACTTTGAAGAGGTACCCGGACTTAGGGAAACGTGGGAAGGTGAGAACATGCTGGGCCGATTGGCATCGCCGGAAGAGTTCACAGGCGCCACTGTTTTTCTGTTGTCGGACTCGAGCAGTTTTATGACGGGAGGTAATCTTGTTATCGACGGAGGACATACAGCGTGGTGATTTGAGTTAGCAAGAGCAATCTAGAGCTCATTAATGAAGTACATAACTGTCTGGACGAGTATAATCTCATGTAGTCCGACAGAAGGTATTGGTAGTTGGAGCGAGAACCAGTGATGCGCGATAGTCGATTGTCTGCGGTTGATCCCCCACTCTTCCCCACCGGATTAACTCTCGATGTCCATCCGGCTTCTTCACCCGCAACCAAACAATCATCCTGTTCACTTCCACTCTCTTCATCCTACACCAGACATGCCTCCAGTTCCCTTGCAGCCCGATCGACATCGGGTGGTGTGCTACCACCAGACGCTCTGTCCAGACCGAGGCCAGTATGTCTCCATGATGCCGCTGATACAGCACAACACCGGCATCACCCATATCATCATTGCAGCCTTCCATCTGAATGCCGAACCAGGCCATATCACCCTCAATGACGACCCTCCAGACCATAGCATGTACGATCCACTATGGTCCGAGGCTCCCCTTGTGAAACAGAGCGGAGTCCGGATTATGGGCATGCTAGGGGGCGCGGCGCAGGGCTCCTTCCGGTGTCTGGATGGCGACCTCGAGAAGTTTGAATCCTACTACCGCCCATTACTAGACGTCATCCGGCGTCATCAATTAGATGGCCTCGACCTGGACGTGGAGGAGGAAATGTCGCTTTCCGGGATCATTCGGTTGATCGACCGCCTGAAATCGGATCTGGGCGACGGCTTCATCGTGACCTTAGCGCCCGTCGCAGCCGCCCTGCTGGGCATCGGGAATCTCTCTGGCTTCGACTACCGGGAACTCGAGCAGCAGCGGTCGTCCAAGATTAGCTGGTACAACACCCAGTTCTACAACGGCTGGGGGCTCGCCGACGATCCCCGTATGTACAGCGCCATCATTGCTCAGGGATGGTCGCCTCAACGCGTGGTGTACGGTCTATTAACGAACCCTGGCAACGGCTCGCAAGGATATGTCCCGCCAGAGACCCTTGCGGCGGTCTTGGGCGTGTTAGTGGAGCAGTACCCCAATTTTGGCGGCGTTATGGGTTGGGAGTACTTCAACTCTCAGCCTGGAGAACGCGAAAAGCCCTGGCAATGGGCGGCCCAGATGACCCTCATCATGAAGATGAAGGACGTGGTCACTGCGGCACAGCAATTGCTGTCCGGACCCATGGCGGCCAGCTTAATGAGCCTCTTACGAGATATGGCCAACCAACGATAGAGCATGATATATGGAATTATAAATATGTCACCTATTTGCTCTTTGATATCTTGGCGTTTCTCCCGGTGCGTATACATCATACAAGGAAAGTCCTGCAGACCACCCATCTACCAATCTGCCCGTAGCCCTCTTCTCTGCAAAAACAGTCCCACCTCGTCGTCCCTCTGTCCTTGAACAATCTCCAGTATGCCTTGTGCACTGGTTTCAGAACTCTCCAGTCCCTTCGCGATTCTCCACTTTCGTCCCTCCTCTCCGGTCAAGTTTGTCACCACGTGTCCGGGGCAGAATGCCCACACCTTGGCGCCCCACGTCTTATACGACGCATACATACACACCGTGGCCATGTTAAGTGCCGCCTTGGAAACGCGGTAGGCGTCGAACTGCGTGGTGCTGTAGGTCTGGCTATTAGGGTTCGCGCGTTCACTGATCGAGCCCAGGCGGGACGTCACATTGATGATGCGGGGGTCCTGAGACTTTTGGAGGAGAGGAAGCAGTTGCTCTGTCAGGACATATGGGCCGACAGTGTTGGTGTTAATGGTCGTGAGCATCTCGTCGCGACGTTCTCTCGGCTCCGTGATGACAATGCCGGCGTTGTTGACCAGCACGTCCAGGACGCCAAAGTCCGTGCTGATCTGGTCGACTGCGCTGCGGATGGAGGCATCATCGCTGACATCCAACTGGACTAAGCTCAGGGTCCCGGCTGGGTTGCGAGCCTGGAGGTCCTCGAGCGCCTTAGCACCTCGAGTGGAGTTGCGACAGCCCATGATAACGTGGTTGCTGGGTGAGGCGTTGGCTAGGGCATAGCTGGTGTCGTAGCCGATGCCTGAGTTGGCGCCTGGTTGAGTTAGAGATGTTGCTCGAGCTATATGAGGTTGATGCTCACCAGTGATAAGGATGATCTTTTTGACAGACATGATTGTAGAGCTATAATGATGTCGGAATCTGGGAGGTTATGTACCTGGACTAAGAGGATAAGCAATTGCATTTATAGTGTAGTCCATGATCTCGACTCTAGCAGTGTGTCGGAGTTAATCAAAGGACAACGGACATCGGACATTGGAGTTAAGCGGACGAGATGACGGCTTGGAGTGCGGTGAGCGTGGCATTTAGAAATTTCCCAAAGCGGAAATACGCCCCTACGTCATTCCGCCTTTCTGCCCTTTTGCGCATCTTCAACCTCTTCCGATTCCCTCCATCGCCTCGACTGCTTCTCTCTACACGTTGCCCCAACGCAGATAGACGTCCAGGACGCCAAAATCCGTGCTGAGCAGCGCTGACTGAATCCAACTGTCCATATGACAGGAGATGATGTTGAATCGAGTTATACAAAACCGTTTCTTTCATAGTTGCGAGGGTGCATGGCGTTAGGCGGTTAGATGGTTGCTTTATCTACAGGCCCGAGTCGGGTATTTAGGTGGAAATGTGGCCATTTATGGCCTCAGTAGCCGTCATTTTCGGCGTCAATTTTCACGGGTCCTCACATTCTATATGCACCTATACAGACTTGATTTTTTAGGATCGATGCGACTTGCCCTATTCAGATGAGGCTGCTTCGAGGACTCCGAGTCATAAGAAAGAGAGGACGACCCAACGAGAATATCAACCAACTATCTCGGATCCGATGATAAATAACTCCCATGAATTATGGTGAGGACAAAAGATACTCAGGATGCGTCTTGAGTGATACGTAGGCGCTGAACTCTCGTTAAAGATAGTAGAAAGGCTGCGTCCTGATTTTGATATTCTTTTAGTCTTTGTCATGAGTATTAAAAGTGTCTCTATATAGCTGTCTGGCCTGTGGTTCCCACCTCCAAGTGATACCAACTAAACGAAGCTTAGGACTAGGTAGATGGGGTTGAGGCTGTAAGCGATAAGGCAGATGGTTGGACATTTAACAAATCCAACAAGGCTTTTTGCGCATTTATACTCTTCTCTTGGGCACGAATCGACGACTCAAGCGCATGTCTTATAAGATCCTCTGTTCCACAGGCCTGACAAGAAGTACCACCCGCGATCGGCGCAATACTAGACCTACTATTGCTCGAAGGCTGGAGCTCTTCATCGCTTGAAATTCTCTCACTAGCACGGATCACCGCCATAGGCATAGATGCGTCAAGAATCATGACCGACGAGACGGCGATAAAGAAGATGAAAACCCACATGTTGGCGTTGCGGCCCTCAAGGTTGCCTAGTTCAGCTTGATACACACAGCCGAGATAAATGCCCAACGCAACGAATAAGGCGAGAATCGACAGCCGGAGTAGCTTGCTAGGCGTTGTGAGGATTATCGCAGATGCGATAGACGGGACTTTCTCTTCGATATTCGAGGCACGTTCAGTCCCATAAAATATCCAATACAGCCAGTGCGAGTGTCGTGTCGTCGTAAGCCACATGCGAACATCCTCCGGGCTGTGTAGATCGCTCAGAAGTTGCTGGACTATAAACGCAAAGCATGTTGATAGAATGCCACAAATAAGGCTCGAATATGCACAGGCAGTGGCAGGCCAATATACGGTGTCGAAGTTGGAAAGGCTAAGCATGGTAATGGCTATCTGGGCGATGATTGCGGACTTCGCGGGAGTTTAGCAGTGGTTCTAGATGTATATTTCAAACTGGAGGAACACCACAATCTGAAAACACTTACTGCAACCGCTTCCATCGCCAAGGTGTCTCTGTAAGACTCTTTCAGCCTCCACGCTTCTTTTGCGTCTTTCAGCACGTATCGTCGTACCCGACAAGTGACCCCTAGGGCTTCCGTATTAAGGAAGCATTGCAGTAGTAGTGGATCGCCTTTATTTTCCTTCCACAGGCGGATGAGTTCTGCGTCATAGGCATAAAAAGTAGTGACGAATTCGAGCGGTGAAGTGGCGCTCCAAATCGTCGGTGTAGTATACTTAGCGAAAAATCGCTGTATGGTCTTCAACGTGGTAGATAGAAATCGATTACCCATAGCTGTCTCTTTGAAAGTTGAAATATTTGAGTACCTACTACTTAGGCTCTGCATAGTAGGGTCGCAGCAGGCTTTATTACATGGAAGGCAACGCCAAGATGAGGCTGCTTCGGGCGACTGTCTGCATTACACAAGCTTAGTTACTTCTGCAACCACTCTACGTGGTTTCCTAGTATTGGCTCAAGGCACCTAGACTCAGTCACTACTAGGCTGAGCAATAAACCGGAAATCGTAGGCCATCAAAATGCGTATGTAATCTATGGTCCAGAGCAGTGCAGAGAGTGCTGGTATTTAGAAATTTCCTAAAACGGAAATGCGCCCCTACGTCATTCCGCCTTTCTGCCCTTCCGCGCATCTTCAACTTCTTCCGATTCCCTCCATCACGTCGACCGCTTCTTCCTACACGTGGCACCAACGCAGATACTCCTACCATACAATCTATTGGAGCCCTCTGCCTTGAAATGATTGAAGCTTGTTGAACCCCCCCCTTTGCAGCTTGTCAACACCATGGTGTCCTTGCCGCGGGTTGCCGCGGCCGTCAGCTCCGCCATCCTGAGGCTCATAGCTTTCGTCTTTTTACGATGGGTAAGTGGACAGTCAATAAATCAGAATAGTCCAGACTAACTCGGCTGTAGATCCCTGGCCATCATATGCCGCATGTAGTGACCACCTCTTTGATGGTCTATCTGTCCTCGCTGTTCTACCTCGCCCGGCCTGTCAAGACAGCTGCTGGCCAGAAGGACCCCAAGCGCACTCAGAATGGCCCTAGTAAGCTGTCTCCAGATGTCCATAGGATGAGTAACTCACGAGCTACAGGGTTTAGAGAGCCAGGGCGTCAAGACAGTATTCTAAAGACCCTCCTGACCGGTCTCCCTTCAGCGAAGTACCCGGTGACATCCCGTTTCACTATCCTAGTGAACATCGTCCTTACGCTCTTTACGTTGGACTTCTTGCTTCGAGGCGTCCTGCTCTACTCCGGAGAAGATCTATCCTTCTCCCGGATCGGCTATGTGTCTCCAACGACCGCGAATCTGCTGGTCCGGGAGCCGGATCCCGCCCAACTGCCTCTCGTAGTCTTCTATCAACAAGCGGAACAGCCGGATCCCGCGCGGTGGATTGAAGAGGGCATCATCTATTCCCTGGATGACTCGACCGACTTCACGACCACGGTGACCTTCAAGAACCTGAAGCCAGATTCCCGCTACCACTACTCCCTCTCCAACAATGGCACTGGTTCCTTTGTCACTGCTCCTCTTCCCGGCACCAAGTCTGCCAACCGGCTGAGCTTCTTGACATCCAGCTGCATGAAACCCAACTTCCCGTACAACCCACGCTCACACCCTCTGCGCTTCCCCGGCGTCGAAAAGATGACCGAGACGATCAGCAAACTACCATCTGCCCTGCGGCCGGCGTTCATGCTGTTCCTCGGCGACTTCATCTACATCGACGTGCCTCATCGCTTTGGCTCCTCAGCCTCCCACTACCGCAGTGAATACCGCCGCGTATACTCCTCCCCGTCCTGGTCCCTACCCCAGGACAACCCAGCCATCAACCTCCCCTGGATCCATACCCTGGACGACCACGAGATCGCCAACGACTGGTCCAAGGGAAACCTCACACCACCGTACCCTGCCGCCGCAGACCCCTTCATCCACTACCACGTCAGCGTCAACCCGCCCATCCCCGCCACTCCCTTTGCCACCCCCGAAAACACTACCTACTTCTCCTTCATTCACGGCCCGGCCTCCTTCTTCCTCCTCGACACCCGCACCTACCGCTCCCCCCCGGCCCAGCCCAACTCGACCATCCTGGGTTCCGCCCAGCTCCACTCCCTCCTCGCCTACCTCGCGCGCCCCGAACCCGCCGAAGTCCGCTGGAAGATCATCACCTCCAGCGTTCCCTTCACCAAGAACTGGCACGTCGGCACCACAGACACATGGGGCGGCTTCCTGGACGAGCGCCGCACCGTCTTCGACGCCATGTGGCGCGCCGAGCGCGACCTCGGCGTCCGCATCGTCCTCCTCAGCGGCGACCGCCACGAGTTCGCCGCCACCCGCTTCCCGGACCCGGCCCTGCCCTGGTCCACCGCTGACGTCCAGCCCAACACGCCCGGCGAGGGCGTCCACGAGTTCAGCGTCGGCCCCCTCAGCATGTTCTACCTCCCCGTGCGCACCTACCACCAGACCGACTCCGACGACGTCGCCGTCAAGTACGTCCCCGACGGAAACGTCAAGTACGGCCTGATCGATATCGACCTCCGTGACGAGCTGGTCCACACCGCCGCCGGAGCATCCGTCTCCGTCCCCAGCTCTGTCCTCACGTACTCACTGTACGTGGACGAAGAGGTCGTCTGGAAGTATAGCCTCAGCGTGCCGCTGCCCGGACATGAGGGCGTTCTGGCCGCCGCGGAGGCGTTCAAACACCCCCGTCTACCGCCTGGACGGGTGCTCGAGGACCACCGCCAGACGGATGGGTGGGATGCCACGGTCAAGACGTTGATCGGGCAGGTAGAGGAGGTTAGCCGGGAAGTCTGTCGACGGGGTGCAGATGTTGTTCAGGAGGTTCTGCGCAAGGTTAGCAAAGCCGAGAGGGTGGATTAATTAGCGTTTAGGTAAAATGGTTCCTTATGCTGTTAGCAGTTGCTAGATAATGAAGATTACACTGAGCCTTTGCCCCGTCCTTGTAGACGAAGTGTGAAAGTTGACGTAGGTACGGCATATATTCATTCTATCATTCCAGATGTTCGATAGTGATCCTGATATCGGTATTTAAAAATTACAATCCCACAACAAGCGAAGCACGCCAAACACCATGTCACATGCTAGAACCGACGCATCGTCACCCAACGAAGTAGCGTCATCGAATCAATAAACAATGATATACGTCTCAAAAAGACACGATCGAAAAGTAATGCAGCAAAAAGACGAAGGGCGGCAATCAGCGTCCCCGTCCCCGTCCACCGCCACCCATCAACCCGCCCATCTGGCTCATCATTGCCTGGAGATCCATGCCGCCCAAGCCGGGCATACCGCCGCCGCCGCCTCCCTGGCCCTGGAGCATCTGCATCATCTTGCCGATATCACCCATACCGGGCATGCCGGGCATGCCGCCGGCACCACCCATGGAGGCCATGCGTTTCTGCATCGCCGCGAGCTGCTGCTCCTTGTTCCCGCCCTTGAGCATGTTCTGGGCGCGCTGCATCTGCTTCTTCTGGCCGCCGACGCGCTTGGCCATGCCGGCCATCATGCGGTGCTGCGAGAGCAGATCCTCCACCTCGCGCACGGTGGTGCCGCTGCCACAGGCGATCCGGACCATGCGGCTGGGCTGCTCCACGAAGACCTTGCCGTCGCCGTCGAGCTCGGATGCCGTCATGCTGTCGAAGATGTAGATCATGCGGCGCAGCTTCATCGAGCCATCCTCGTCGTCCAGGCCGGCGGTCAGATTGGACAGACCCGGGATCATGCCGGAGAGCTTGGACAGAGGACCCATCTTCATGATCGAGGTGATGTTTTCACGGAAATCGCGGAGCGTGTAGATACCCTCCGAAATGTGCTTGTAGGTCTCCTTGGCCGCAGCCGAATCCTTGGTCACGGCCTGGACGTGCTCAACCAGCCCGGCCATATCACCCATGCCCAGGAGCTTCTGGATGAACGCCTTGGGCTCGAACCGCTCCAGGTCCATCATGTGTTCGCCGGTACCCAGGAAGATGATGGGCGTGTGGGTGGCCGCGACGGCCGAAATGGCACCACCACCCGCGGCATGACCGTCCGTCTTCGTGATGATGATGGCTCCAAAATCAGCAGTAGCCTTAAAGGCGGCGGACTGCGCCTCCGCGGCCTGACCGATAGTGCTGTCCAGAACCAGGATTGTCTGGTCCGGGGTGACCGCCGTTTGGATCTGAGTCATTTCCGTAAAGAGCTCCTCCTCTTGCTTGTGGCGACCACTGGTATCAACAATGATGATCTCGAAGCGCTCCTTCTTGAACTTGGCGACACCCTCGGCGGCCACGACCGCGGGGTCCGTCTGGGTCAGACTTCCGTAGTACGGGATCTTGGCTTTGGTCGCGTTCTGCTTCAGCTGGTCGAACGCACCGGCACGGAAGGTATCCGCGCAGACCAGCGCTGTCTTGAATCCGCGCATCTGGTAGTGTCTCGCCAGCTTGGTACACGTCGTCGTCTTACCGGCACCCTGCAAACCCACAAACATGATGACATTGGATCTGCCCTTCTTAGGACGGAAGGGCTCGGCATGGGGGTTGACGAGGGCGACCAGTTCATCAAAGACGGCCTTCTGGATGAGACGTTTCTTGTTGACGGCGGAGGGTAGGGAGGCGAAATTCACGCTTGATTTAATCGATTTGCGCAGCGACTGGACAAGGCGCACATTGACGTCGGCCGATAATAGGGCGGCGCAGATTTCTTTCAGCATGTCATCAAAGGCCTAGATAAAGATTAGTATACAACTGAGCTAGGTCAATAGTCCTTGACGTACCTTCTCGTCCAGATTGTTGGACCGGGTCAGGTCATTGACGGCGGCGTTGATGCGCCGCCCGAGATCCTGGAGGACCATGGCGGTAGCTCTTGTGAGTGTTGCTAGATTGAATGAAATTTGATGAATGAAGCAACCCCCTAAGACAGAGACACCCAGCAGAAATCAGGAAACCGAGTATGAGAAGAATGTGGGGGTTTGAATGAAGCGGCGAAGAGGACAAGTTAGGTAAGTCAACCACGCCAAATGCGGAGAGTCGATTCTCACCTTCCGGTTGGCTGCCCCTCTCACCGCCCTACAGACATCGCCAGCAGAAAAATAAGAAAAAAAAAAAGTACGACATTCACTTCGTCCACGACACACCCATATCCACCCTCATAATGCCTCTCACTACGTCGCAAAAAAAGCGCAAGGTCCTGGAGGGCTTCCAGGGCAAACATGGTCGTCCCACCAAGAAGTTCCGCAAGCAGCGCGAGTACCACAGCAGCTCCGACGAGGCAGAGGACGATGAACCTGCCGATTTCCAAGCTGTCAATCTTGCGGATTCAGATGAAGAGGCGCCTGTGACGAACAAGAAGGCGAAGATTTCCGCGAAAAAGCAGTCTACGGAAAAGCCAACAAAATCGATCGGCAATGCGAAGAAAACCGAAGACGACAGCGACGCTGAATCCGTCCCCAGCGACGACGATGCCTCCGACTCTGAAGGATCGTCCGCCGCCGATAGCGATGCCGACTCTGACACATCCATGCCCACCTCAGCCGCCGGAGGCCGTCCGGTGCCCAAGCGACATGATCCCACTGCATTCTCGAATTCGATCTCCAAGATTCTATCTACCAAACTCCCGACATCCGCCCGGGCGGATCCCGTCCTCTCTCGCAGTAAGATTGTCGCGCAGAAGACCTCTGAAGCTGCGGAAGAGAAGCTCGACCAGCGGGCTCGCGCGAAGCTGCGCGCCGAGAAGAAGGAAGAGCTGGACCGGGGCCGCGTGCGCGATGTCATGGGCTTTGAACGCGGCCAAGCGGGTGCGGTTCTTGAGGAAGAAAAACGTCTCCGGAAGATCGCCCAGCGTGGTGTGGTGAAATTGTTCAACGCTGTGCGGGCTGCCCAAGTGCGTGGAGAGGAGGCCGCTAAGGAGGAGAGGAAGAAAGGAACGATTGGTATCGGCGAGCGAGAGAAGGCTGTCAACGAAGTGAGCAAGCAGGGATTCCTGGAGTTGATCAGCGGGAAGAAGGGGAAGCCATTGAACATCGAGGAAGCTTAAGTGGTGGGATTGTCGACCATCCGGTTCAGAAGCACAGGCAGGCATTTTTGGCGTTGGGGAGCTTTTGTCACCCTTTCTCGATTTGTACATGTGGATTCAAAAGTGGTTGGTTATATACAATTGTTGTGTTGAAAAGTAGAATGGAGATGAGAATACCCAATTGAACTTGTCATCACTCCCTGGCCGATGAAATATGTATAATACTACTCGTACATGGACGTCCTTAGACCATTCGCATTATTTTGTGCTCCTTCGTAGCGCTCTATTTTTGCTGGAAATCGCTGGCCTGCAGATTCCGGGTCATCGACGGCAGTCGCACCACCAGACCATCCAGGTCCTTTGTCATTTTGACCTGACATCCCAGGCGGGAGGTCTCGGTCAATCCGAACGCCAAGTCAAGCATGTCGTTCTCATCGTCCGTCGGTTCTTCCATCTTGTCAAACATGTCGGGGTCTTCGACAATAACATGGCAGGTAGAGCAGGCACAGGAACCACCACAAGCACCTGTTGTTGGTCAGTGACAGGGAAATCTTAGCTGCGCGTTTGATGCAATTGACGAACCTTCCATCTCAAGGTCGTTGGCCTGCGCGATGTCCAACAGGTTGTCACCCTCCGCCACTTGAAAGTCAATCTTCTGGCCGTCCTTGTCGATAAAGGTGACATTGATCCTGTAAGGGAAGTTAGTCAAACGATATTACATGATTCTTCAGAGGGAAGACTTACTCCTCTCCAGGCTTCGGAGGCGTGATATGACCGTGTTGAACACCGGCAGTGGCGGAGAAGCCTCGCCGTCCCGCATTCACCCCGGACCGCCATGACTGTTGCGCCTGCACGGGAAGACTAGACTTCCGAGCAACTAGAGATTGAGACGAGGCGATTGTCCGCGACACCGATGTGCAGGAGTTGAGGAATCGCTTGGATTGCGCGCGACATAAGCGATGACTCGGAAGGGATTTTGGCACGGCATGGCGCAGATTCAGGCAGGCTTCCGTCCAGAACGACATGTTGAGGGTGATAAGGTATGAGTCAAGTCTATAGAAAGAAAGGCCCCTGGGGGATACGACACCGGCGCGAACAGGTGGGGAGTGGAAAAGGAAGAGACAGCAGATGAATGAGTCTCCGGGGAAAAAAGCGAGGGAACCCGATCGGGAACTGCCAGGCGGGAATTCGGACTTAAGCCAATGACCGCCTTCCCTTCGAAAATCACCGACGTTAAGCTCTCCGACTTTCTCTTCGCTTTCTTCCCTGTACATACATCCGCAGCTTCATTCCCTGGCTCCCTCACCACCCTCTGACGGACGAGAATCCCCGTCATGTCGTCCTCTTCGTCTTCGCTTCAGGGACCAAACCCCCTGCGTCCCTATTATTTCCCTCCGTCCATGGGCTTGGACGCGGCCAACGCCTCGTCCTCCCCTCCTGATGCGTCATCGGCCCAGGTCTTCGGAGGGTCGGCGCGCGACTTACTGCCAGACCTGGACTACTCGGACTACCTTGACAATTCTCCCTCCGTATCGAGCTGGGTTCGGGAGGCGCTGGATCGCGCCATCTGGCGCTACATGAGCGTGCTCTTCGCGCAGCCGTTCGACGTCGCCAAAACCATTCTCCAGACCTACACCATGTCGGAAGCTGCTGGTGGAAGAGTGATGGATGACCGTCGGAGGTCAGCTGCTGGAATTCAATCGGACTCGTATGATGACGAGGAAGAGGTATGCATATATCGGAGCTGGGCGGATCGCAAAGTACGCGGGGAACTAACCTGTGAAACCCAGGATGAGGCGTTATCTTCCGACGACGAGAGCAATTACTTCACATCTGCTGCTCCTGCAGTACCATCCCCATCCACACCACGTTCGAAAAAGCCCCGTCGTCATATCACGGATCGGAGCGGCTACATACGTTCGTCTTCGTCGCGCCATGCCTTGACCATCAAGAACCCGTCATCACTCATGGAGGTCATCTCCCAGCTATGGACTACCAGTGGGCCGACGTCGCCGTGGAAGGCGAGCAACGCCACCTTCATTTACTCTCTACTCCAGCCTACATTGAATACCTTTATTCGCAGTCTTCTCTTCGCCATAGTAGGCTTGCCCGAGGACGAGATCTCGCCTTCCCTGGCGTCCGACATCTTGACCTCAACCTCCCCCATCGCCACCCTGCTCCTTTCGCTTATCTCCACCTCTCTCACGGCGATCCTTCTGTCGCCCATCGACACCGCGCGGACCCTCCTTGTCCTCACACCGGTCACCCATGGCCCGCGATCCCTGATCCGAGCTATTCGCCAAATCCCCACTCCCAATTGCACAATCCCCTCCCACCTTGTTCCAATCACTGTCCTCCACTCTTGTCTTCCCAACTTCATCACGAACACGACCCCTCTGTTTCTCAAACATTACCTGTCGCTTGATCCCGTCTTAAACCCCTCAACCTGGGGTCTCTTTACATTCATCGCCTCCGGACTGGAGCTGACAGTCCGATTCCCGCTGGAAACTGTCTTGCGTCGCGCGCAGATCGCCACATTCACTTCCCCCAGCATCCGCCAGAAGAGCGCAAGCCGTCTACACTCTTCGACATCTGCAACTCCAGCATCCGAGACGGCCGAAATCGAAACCATCGTCCCTACGCCGCAGACCTACCGCGGCATCATCGGCACGATGTGGAGCATCGTATACGAAGAGGGTGAACAACCAGCTTCCGGAGGCGGAGCGCGCCCACGAGCTTCCTCAGGAAGCCCATCGGGGTGCGCAAGCGGTCAAGGCCAGGGGTATCCACGGGCCTCTAACCGCGGCTGGCGCACCGGCCATGTGGGGTATCGCTTGGTATCTGGGGCGTTTGTTCTGCTCCTTGCCTTTGCTGAAAGCGGGA